AAAATTGGGTAAATTATGTACACTGCACTGAAACAGATGAGGGAGACAACTGTTTGAAAGTGGCATATGATTGGGTATTATGGTTATGACAAGAGTCCAGAATGAAGGTTGCATAATGGAGTGTCCTGGGGGGGGTGGGGCGATATTCTATACCAATGAAGGAATTTTTCTTTGACATTTCAAAGAGAAGTGCGAAGTAGGTGGAGGGGTGAGCAGGGAGAGAAATGCAAAATCTCTGTAAATATTCATTAAAATTAATTTTAAAATAAATAAATAAGAGGTAAGAACCATAAAAGGAACACACTGAAAATAGGTACTAAAGCAGTGCACATCATTCTTTTATCCCTATGTCTTTTACCTACTAGTAGTAATGATGCTCTGGTAGCCTGATGGAGGAGTTGCCCTGCCAACTCAAAGGCAAGCACTGAATTCACCAGCTGCTCTTCAGGAGAAAGATAGGCAATCTCCTCCTGGGTGGAAACCTGCTGGAGGGTCAGTTAGGAATCAGTTCCAGTTTGACAGCAATGAGTTGAGTTATGATACCAATAAAGAAAGAAAAAAACTATTTGCCATCTTTTGTCAATATTTAAGTATTAAGTATTCAATGTTATGCACCATCAAGTAAGAACTCCTAGATTCAAACCAGGTACCTTTAGGTTGGCAACACAACTACTTATCACTTAGCCACCAGAGCTCCTTAATATGCAGCACTACAATACCGAAATACACTACTGCCTTTCCGCTCTGATGATAAGTATAGTACAATTTAGTCAGCAGATGAAAATTATATATCATCAAATCTACTATGTATTGAAAATTTAAAGGAAATGCCAGTGCAAATTTTAAGAATCTTCTATGAAAGGCCTTTTGGGGGGGAGAAGAAAAGTTTTGGGCTGAATTACATCCACCAAAACCATGTGTTGTAAATTCTAATTGTGTCTACCTATGCTCTTGAACAAAATCCCTTCTGAGAACAGGACTTTTGTTACATTCATGAGACTATCAACAGTAGAAGATGTATTTTAAACCTTTGAGATATAAAAGAGCAGGTTGGGAATGGAGAAGGAAGCATGAATAGAAAGGAAGACACAGCCACACAAATATTGTCAAGGAACAGAAGAGATTAGATCCTTTTTCCAGAGCTGACAGAGAGAAAACCTTCCCCTAGAGTCACCTACTTGTGGTACTTTTATTAAAGGAGCACTAAGAAACTAAGACAGGAAGTAAAAGAAGGGAATCAGTAAAAACAAAACTAAAGTCTCAAGCATTGGATATCTTTGGCAAGACTTTTCTTTGAACAGTCAAATTCCAAAATGAATGCTCCCTTCTGATGAAAAATAGCCATTTCCTCTTCTAGTGTTAAAAAAGGCTTGTTGTTAGCTGCTATAGAGTTGGCTGCCAATTTGTGACCACCCCACTCAATATTACGGGGCTCTGGTGACCCAGTGGTAAACAGCTGCCCTGTCAGCACAAAGACATGGCGCTCTGAATCCAACAGCTGTTTGACAGGAGAAAACTGGGCAATGTAACACACAACCCTGCAATTCCATTCCAAAATTAAAAAATACATGTCCACACAAAGACTAGTATGTAAATATTCTAAGAGCTAATATTCATAAATGGGGGGGGGGTGACCACAAAGGAACAGCTATGGAACTTTTTGCAATAATGGAAATGAGATGGTTAT